GGAAAAGTGCTTCATTGTCCTCGATCTGAAAGTTGCTTACTTAGATATTATTTAGATATTTCACTGCCACAGAAGGTTCTGACGATTCGTAGTTGGGAACACCCACTACCAATTCACATTGCTCCTATTTGGCCTAGCTATGGCACCAAGGGTATTTACGAAGTGCATGGTGGTAGTCGCAGCCTACCTCAGATGTTGGGGTATCCAGATCTACCTGTTCCTCAACAACTGGCTCATCAAGGGTTGCTCAAGGGACCATGTCCAACGCCGAATCACAATGCTGCGAGCCACCTGTCAAGCACTGGGCCTGTTGATAAACGAACAGAAATCAACATTGGAACCAATGCAGAGGACAGAATTTATCGGAACGGTACTCGACTCTAGCTGAGCCAGAGCATTCCTGCCAGAGGCCTGGTTCAGGGCAATGTCAGATCTGATAACCCAGGTCACTGCCCACCCACTTACCACAGCCCGAGACTGCCTCAGGCTACTAGGGCACATGGTTGCATACACTTACATTGTCCAGCACATGAGACTTCACCTCCGACCTCTCCAGATGTGGCTGGCATCGGTCTACTCCCCGGCCAGACATCACCTGGACAAACTTCTCATGATCCCGCCACGGGTACTCACCTCCCTGTGGTGGTGGTCCAACCCGAATCCGGTGTTGGAAGGTGTGCTGTTTGTGAATCCATGGCCCACAATGTCCCTGATTTTGGATACCTCTGACCTTGGTTGAGGAGCGCACCTTGGTACACTCAAAACTCAGGGGCTATGGTCTCGAGAGGAGCTGTCACTGCGCATAAACATCAGAGAGCTCAGGCCCATCCGCCTGGCTTTTGAAGTGTTCCTTCCCCATCTGTCCAGTTGTGTGGTGCAGGTGTTGACAGACAACACAGCCTCCATGTTCTATGTCAGCAGACAGGGAGGAGCTCAATCATTGGCCCTTTTTCTGGAAGCCTATCGGCTGTGGGACTTCTATCCCACATGCTATCCGCCTGGAAGTCTCACACCTCCCCGGCATCAGGAACATGCTGGCGGATTGCCTCAGCAGGTCCTTTTTCTCTCACCATGAGTGGTCCCTCCACTCGGAGGTCGTTAGGATGCTCTTCCAGAAGTGGGGAACTCCCGCAGTGGACCTGTTCACCACCAGACAAAACAGAAAATGTCACCAGTTATGCTCTCTGCAAGGTCTTGACAATGGCTTACTATCCAATGCCTTCGTCCTGTTGCGGTCAGGCAACCTGATGTATGCCTTCCCACTAGTCCCACTGAAGATCAAGAGGGACAAGGCACAAGTCATTATGATCGCAGTTTGGCTGCACCAGCATTGGTTCAGCATGCTCATGGATTTAGCAGTGGGCGCCCTGTGGACACTTCCCAGCTGCCTGGACCTGCTCTCTCAGGATCACGGACAATTACCCAAACCTTGCCTCTCTCTACCTCACAGTGTGGTTGCTGAGTGGCTGAAGCCCGAGGAACAAGCCTGCTCTAGTCAGGCTATAAATTATAAATGCAGCAGGTCCTCTTGGAGAGCAGAAAGCCCTCTACCAGGGCGATGTACCTGGCAAAGTGGAAGTGCTTCTCCTGATGGGCATTGGAGCGGAATATCTCTCCGATCCAGTCGTCTCTACAATCCATCCTAGATTACCTGCTTCACTTAAAGCACCAGGGCCTTTTATGTTCATTGATCAAGGCCATATCAGCCTTAGCAGCCATATCAGCCTTCCACCCTCATGTCCCGGGGTAGAGCTATATTCTCACACAAGGTAATGTTCAGTTCCTGAAAGGCCTTGAAAGACTTTTTCCGCTGATTTGGGACCCAATTCCCCAGTGGGATCTCAACCTAGTCCTCTCCAGACTCACTGGCCCTCCCTTCAAACTTCTCGCTTCCTGCTCCCTTTCACACCTGTCATGGAAAGTTGCATTCCTTCTAGCTACTACCATGGTGAGGTGAGTCTCTGAGATTAAAGCCCTCACGTCAGAGCCCCTGTACACGGTGTTCTATAAGGATAAGGTCCAACTGCATCCCCATCTGGCCTTCCTGCCGAAAGTGGTGTTGCAATTCCATGTCAACCAGGATATCTTCCTCTCTGTGTTCTGTCGAAAGCCTCACACATCCAACGAGGAGAGGCGTCTGTACACCCTAGACGTCAGGCATGCCATGCTTTCTACCTGGAGCGCACCAAGCCCTTCCACAGATCTACTCAACTCTTCATTGCAGCGGCTGACAGGATGAAGGACCTCCCAGTGTCTTCTTAGAGGATTTTGGCTTGGATTACCATCTTCATCCGTACTTGCTACAAGATAGTGAAGGCTCATTCCCCAAGGGCTATCCAGGACATCTGTAGAGCCATGACGTGGTCACTGGTACACACGTTCACAACGCACTATGCCAGGGGTGGCCAACCTGTGGATCCGGAGCCACATGCGGCTCTTCAGAAGTTAATATGAGGCTCCTTGTTTAGGCACTGACTCCAGAGCTGGAGCTACAGGTGCCAACTTTCCAATATGCCGGGAGGTGCTCACTGCTCAACTCCTGGCTCTGCCACGGGCCCTGCCCCCACTCCACCCCTTCCCATGCCCTCCCCTGAGCCTGCCATGCCATTGCTCCTCCCTCTCCCCCCCAGAGCCTCCTGCATGCCACGAAACAGTTGACTGGGAGGTGTGGGGATGGAGCGGGAGGTGCTGATCACCAGGGCTGCCGGTGGGTGGGAGGTACTGGGAGCGGGGGGAGTGGGGAAGCTGATAGGGGTCTGCTGACATATTACTGTGGCTCTGTGGCAAAGTACATTGGTAAATTCTGGCTCCTTTTCAGGCTCAGGTTGGCCACCCCTGCACTATGCCATCACCCAGCAGGCCCAAGATGATGCTGGCTTTGGCAGAGCCGTGTCCATGAACTCCTACCTGCTTCCATAGGTACTGCTTGGGAGTCAGCTACAATGGAATGGACATGAGCAAGCACTTGAAGAAGAAAAGTCGGCTACCTTTCATAACTGTTGTTCTTCGAGATGTGTTGCTCATGTCCATTCCATGACCCACCCTCCTTCCCCTCTGTCAGAGTTCCGTCAAGAAGGAACTGAAGAGGAGGGGGCTGGCAGTGCCCCTTATACCAGCACATATGTGCGCCACTCCAGAGGGTGCCAGAGCTGGTCCCCTATGGATACCACTGAGGGAAAAACTTCTGGTTCTGCTGCATGTGGCGAGCATACACACCTACAATGGAATGTAGATGAGCAACACATCTTGAACAACAGTTACGAAAGGTTACCATCTTTTCCTCATTCCTACGTGTGTGACCTTGCATTTGGCTGTGGCAAAACATGTTTTGTTTGATTGGGCCTGGCTTACCAAGCAATCAAGGTCACACTATCTCAGTGCCCTGTTGCTGTCATTATTTATCACCTCACCAAGCTTTGTGTCATCTGCGAACTTTATCAGCAATAAGTTTATTCTTTATTCCAGAGTATTGATAAGAATATTGAGCAGCATAGGGTTGAGAACCAATTCAAACAGGACCCCTCTGGAAACACCCCAACTCACTGATGTTTCAGTAGTAATAATGAAGGGCCAGATCCTAAGGTGGTGACAATTGGCATAGCTCCGTTTAAGACAATGTGTCCACATCAGTTTACACCAGCTTGTAGTGGCTTAGCGGCGGGGTTCCTCCCTCTCCGGGTCCATGGGAGGCCACGCTGCCTCACTATGTCTCAGTGTGTCACCTACCATGGGGAATTAGTGGGGCAACAAGAATCTATAGCTTCGGTCTGTGTTCAGGGGGGTGAGCAACAGACACAGTCAGGGTAGCCCAGGCCCTTAGTCAGGACAGGGAAATGAGTCTATAGCTTTGGCCTGTGGTCAGGGCTGAGCAACTGCAGTTAGGTAGCCCTGCGCCCTCAGTCAGGGTGGGGCAATGCAGGTCTATGACTCAGGCCTGTGTTCAGGGCCGAGCAGCTATGGGTTCAGGCAGTCTGTCTCTTGTGGATGGCCGACAAGCTCTGGCCTCTTGCCCGAGAGAGGGGGAGACTACCACCCCAGAGTTAGGGGTGGCAGGGGGGACGCAGGCACACCCACTCCACTGCGTCCTTGCCCAGGGCCCTAATATTGGAAGAGTGGCCTGCCACGGGGTCAGCGGGGATTCTGACCACAACATGCTGACATAAGCTCAGGTGGTGCTGCAGCCAGACTAGGGTCGGCTGTCCCTCGGCCACTTCCCAACTCCCCCTCAGGTTGTACCTGGGTCTGTAAAGGGCTCTCCCCAAGTTGTCAGGGTAGAAGGCCTGCGGCAGTCCTGGCAACTTTTCTGTGGGCTGGGCAGCATATGGCTCCGGCGGCCCTGAGCTCTATCAGTTAGTAGTATTTGATCCATTTAATAGGGATCATATTGATTTTTGTATAGTGTTATTTTCAATTAGAATGTTGTGTTGTTTATTTTTGCAGCAGTTAAACCATTCTGCAGTGGAAACGTTTTTGGCTCCTATACAGGGTCTTTCATTCTTGAGGCATCTAATTAGATACTGCTAATGGAGTAGCTGCTAGGGAACACTGCAGCGATCATGTGTTCACAGTAGCTTGCACACAGACCTTCAACATTAGTATCTGTTTTATGAGGCGAGGGAACGTTAGTCAGGGTGTCATGCTTTATTCACTATATTTGTTAAAATTCCCTTGAGCTTTACATTTTACCGTGGATAGCCACCTGCGACTGACAGAAAGCAGTGGGCTTACCAACTGTTCTTCCCAAAATGGCACCTCTTAAATTGAAACAGCCATTTTCCTCCCCTTCCTCCTAAGTAATTTATAGCCTTATTGTCAGACTTGGACATAAACCCTGCTGTTGGACTTGAATCTGTGATCACCTGTCTCAGATTTATGCTGCAAGGTAATCTATACTCACCATTTGTTGGTGACCTGGTTTCATGTACAGTGTAGTGTTGAATTCAGTGAGCCTGTTTGTTGATTTCCCTTTTGTGTGATGTGATTTATTTTTCCCTTTTCAGAGCTCTACAGGGGAGAAAGCAGATTCTCAGCTGATGGCCATGCCAAACACAGACCCCAGCATCAGGTAAGGTGGGACAAATCCTGTCCATCTGGATTAGTGGTGTTTAGATATTCTGTTTGGTTATTACCTTACACTTAACTGTTCTCTCACCCACCTCTGAATACCCCATCTGGCTCTCATAATTTGCCTCAGACTCCCTCTACATCTATTGGCAAAACTACTGACCCTTATTAAACTAGTGTATTTGAATCTTTCTGTTCACTCTCTGGGGCGTTTAAGTTGGAGAGACCCTCATGTTATGGCTCTACTTTCTCCTTTTCCTCTAGAGTTTCTATCAATGACTCTGAGTTCTCCTCTTGCTCCACTGAGTCCCCTCCTAAGAATAGAGAACCTTCAGAAAAAAGCATAGGGCCGGTCTCGGTGAGAAGTCCATTCATCAATCCAGGCCCTAAGCTAGGAAGATGCCTGGAGGGCTCTCCGAGAAACACGGTAAACATCTGATGAAGTGAGCTGTAGCTCACGAAACCTCATGCTCAAATAAATTGGTTAGTCTCTAAGGTGCCACAAGTACTCCTTTTCTTTTTGCGAATACAGACTAACACGGCTGTTCCTCTGAAACCGAGAATATTCAAGTGCTCAAGAAGGCTACAAAGTGTAGTAGCTCCAGTAAGGGAAGAGTTTCTTCTCCTTGAGAGCATTCAAGGGACTCTCAACACAAGAGAGAAGGCTTCTATGCTAGGGCCAAAAAAACCTAAAACAGACAAATAGCTCTGTTATCTCCTATTGATCTTCCCTGCCCACTCGCCTTTGGAAGAAGGGGAGTTTTCAATGTCTTCTCCTTTACAGGATCCAAACAGTGAGACCAAAACCAAACTGACAAAAAGAAAACGTGTTTTATTGGACCAAAAAGACAGTATCTCACCCACCTTGTCTCTCTAATATCCTGGGACCAATACGGCTACAACACTGCAAAAAAAAAAAAAGAAAATGTGTCCTTTTTAACAGGTTTCAGAGTAACAGCCATGTTAGTCTGTATTCGCAAAAAGAAAAGGAGTACTTGTGTCACCTTAGAGACTAACCAATTTAAACTAACCTGGAAAAATCATGAAGCAGGTCCTCAAAGAATCAATCCTGAAGCACTTGCATGAGAGGAAAGTGATCAGGAACACCACATGATTCACCAAGGAAGTCTGCCTGATAATCTAATCCCTTCTATGATGAGATTACTCTTTGTATGAAGGAAACATGGATGTATTGTTTCTTGACTTTAGCAAAGCTTTTGACACGGTCTCCCACAGTATTCTTGTCAGCAAGTTAAGGAAGTATGGGCTGGATGAATGCACTACAAGGTGGGTAGAAAGCTGGCTAGATTGTCGGGCTCAACGGGTAGTTATCAATGGCTCCATGTCTAGTTGGCAGCCGGTATCAAGTGGAGTGCCCCAAGGGTCGGTCCTGGGGCCGGTTTTGTTCAATATCTTCATAAATGATCTGGAGGATGGTGTGGATTGCACTCTCAGCAAATTTGCGGATGATACTAAACTGGGAGGAGTGGTAGATCCGCTGGAGGGGAGGGATAGGATACAGAAGGACCTAGACAAATTGGAGGATTGGGCCAAAGAAATCTGATGAGGTTCAATAAGGATAAGTGCAGGGTCCTGCACTTAGGCGGAAGAACCCAATGCACAGCTACAGACTAGGGACCGAATGGCTAGGCAGCAGTTCTGCAGAAAAGGACCTAGGGGTGACAGTGGACGAAAGCTGGATATGAGTCAGCAGTGTGCCCTTGTTGCCAAGAAGGCCAATGGCATTTTGGGATGTATAAGTAGGGGCATAGCGAGCAGATCGAGGGATGTGATCGTTCCCCTCTATTCGACATTGGTGAGGCCTCATCTGGAGTACTGTGTCCAGTTTTGGGCCCCACACTTCAAGAAGGATGTGGATAAATTGGAGAGAGTCCAGCGAAGGGCAACAAAAATGATTAGGGGTCTGGAACACATGAGTTATGAGGAGAGGCTGAGGGAGCTGGGATTGTTTAGCCTGCAGAAGAGAAGAATGAGGGGGATTTGATAGCTGCTTTCAACTACCTGAAAGGGGGTTCCAAAGAAGATGGCTCTAGACTGTTCTCAATGGTATCAGATGACAGAACGAGGAGTAATGGTCTCAAGTTGCAGTGGGGGAGGTTTAGATTGGATATTAGGAAAAACTTTTTCACTAAGAGGGTGGTGAAACACTGGAATGCGTTACCTAGGGAGGTGGTAGAATCTCCTTCCTTAGAGGTTTTTAAGGTCAGGCTTGACAAAGCCCTGGCTGGGATGATTTAACTGGGAATTGGTCCTGCTTTGAGCAGGGGGTTGGACTAGATGACCTTCTGGGGTCCCTTCCAACCCTTATATTCTATGATTCTATGATTTGAGCATGAGCTTTCGTGAGCTACCGATGAAGTGAGCTGTAGCTCACGAAAGCTCATGCTCAAATAAATTGGTTAGTCTCTAAGGTGACACAAGTACTCCTTTTCTTTTTGTCCTTTTTAAGAAGGCCTCCAAACCAAATCCAGCCAGCGGAGTTTCTGATTGTAGGAAGCAGGCAGGCATTCTCCCTTTTCCTTAGGTCAGGGAAGGAGCAGCTTCACCCAATTAATAAGGCCCTTATCTCAGAGCCTTGAGTCTGAGCAGGCAAAGTCTCTAGAACTCATATCAGGCTTATTGATTAAAAGTATAGCCAATTGACCGACTACACCTGTGTTTTGTTATGAAAAATGTTCAAGAGGCCAAATAAGCAAACTTAGCCAATTTTGTTGCTAAAAGCAAACAACAGTGCACTATAGGAAAGAAAGGGTTACTATATTACCGATCCTTCTGGGCAGGTGTTTCTCACAGTTCACCTTACCCAGAAGGTGTGCTCCCTAAATAGGCCCCCAAACTACCTATGTTTACAATAGACCTGATTACAAGTTAAAAGCACCCAAGTCTAATCTTCACCAATCAGCTTGTTAGCTTCTTTTTCTGGTACCATGGCACATGGAAAGTGTAGGGGACAATTTCCTGGTGCAAGTGCTGGAGGAACCAACTGGGGGCAGAGCTCTTCTTGACCTGCTGCTCACAAACCGGGAAGAATTAGTAGGGGAAGCAAAAGTGGACAGGAACCTGGGAGGCAGTGATCATGAGATGGTCGAGTTCAGAATCCTGACACAGAGAAGAAAGGAGAGCAGCAGAATACAGATCCTGGACTTCAGAAAAGCAGACTTTGACAACCTCAGGGAACTGATGGGCAGGATCCCCTGGGAGAATAACATGAGAGGGAAAGGAGTCCAGGAGAGCTGGCTGTATTTTAAAGAATCCTTATAGAGGTTACAGGGACAAACCATCCCGATGTGTAGAAAGAATAGTAAATATGGCAGGCAACCAGCTTGGCTTAACAGTGAAATTCTTGCTGATCCTAAACACAAAAAAGAAGCTTACAAGAAGTGGAATATTGGACAAATGACCAGGGAAGAGTATAAAAATATTGCTCTGGCCTGCAGGAGTGAAATCAGGAAGGCCAAATCACACCTGGAGGTGCAGCTAGCAAGAGATGTTAAGAGTAACAAGAAGGGTTTCTTCAGGTATGTTAGCAACAAGAAGAAAGTCAAGGAAAGTGTGGGCCCCTTACTAAATGAGGGAGGCAACCTAGTGACAGAGGATGTGGAAAAAGCTAATGGATTCAATGGTTTTTTTGCCTCTGTCTTCACGAACAAGGTCAGCTCCCAGACTGCTGCACTGGGCAGCGCAGCATGGGGAGGAGGTGACTAGCCATCTGTGGAGAAAGAAGTGGTTCGGGACTATTTAGAAAAGCTGGACGAGCACAAGTCCATGGGGCCGGATGCGCTGCATCCGAGAGTGCTAAAGTAGCTGGTGGATGTGATTGCAGAGCCATTGGCCATTATCTTTGAAAACTCCTGGCGATCGTGGGAGGTCCCGGACGACTGGAAAAAGGCTAATGTAGTGCCCATCTTTAAAAAAGGGAAGAAGGAGGATCCTGGGAACTACAGGCCAGTCAGCCTCACCGCAGTGCCTGGAAAAATCATGGAGCAGATCCTCAAGGAATCAATTCTGAAGCACTTAGAGGAGAGGAAAGTGATCAGGAACAGTCAGCATGGATTCACCAAGGGCAAGTCATGCCTGACTAATCTAATTGCCTTCTATGACGAGATAACTGGCTCTGTGGATGAGGGGAAAGCAGTGAACGTGTTGTTTCTTGACTTTAGCAAAGCTTTTGACACGGTCTCCCACAGTATTCTTGCCAGCAAGTTAAAGAAGTATGTGCTGGATGAACGGACGATAAGGTGGATAGAAAGCTGGCTAGATTGTCAGGCTCAATGGCTCCATGTCTAGTTGGCAGCCAGTATCAAGCGGAGTGCCCCACGGGTAAGTCCTGAGGCCAGTTTTGTTCAATATCTTCATTAATGATCTGGAGGATGGTGTGAATTGCACCGTCAGCAAGTTTGCAGATGACACTAAACTGGGAGGAGAGGTAGATACACTGGAGGGTAGGGATAGGATACAGAGGGCCCTAAACAAATTAGAGGATTGAGCCAAAAGAGATCTGATGAGGTTCAAGAAGGACAAGTGCAGAGTCCTGCACTTAGGACGGAAGAATCCCATGCACCGCTACAGACTAGGGACCGAATGGCTAGGCAGCAGTTCTGCAGAAAAGGACTTAGGAGTTACAGTGGACGAGAAGCTGGATATGAGTCAACGGTGTGCCGTTGTTGCCAAGAAGGCCAGTGGCATTTTGGGCTGTATAAGTAGGGGCATTGCCAGCAGATCGAGGGACGTGATCGTTCCCCTCTATTGGACATTGGTGAGGCCTCATCTGGAGTACTGTGTCCAGTTTTTGGCCCCACACTACAAAACAGAAGTGGAAAAATTGGAAAGAGTCCAGTGGAGGGCAACGAAAATGATTAGGGGACTGGAACACATGAGTTATGAGGAGAGGCTGAGGGAACTGGGGATGTTTAGTCTGCAGAAGAGAAGAATGAGGGGGGATTTGATAGCTGCTTTCAACTACCTGAAAGGGTGTCACAA